CCATCTAGACTGGCGTTTGCATACAAACTTCGTTAGCTACCCTATCAATCCAGACATAGACATTTCGGTTCCAGAAGAGAATATAATCTTCTCCAAGTTGTCATGGTCACTACGCATGATCTCTCAAAATGCCGCTGAAATTTTCTTATGCGCCCGCCAAATTTACTAGCCTCGTCTTCAAGGCGAATTTAAAAAGACTGGTGATGACTAATTCCTAGTTTTCCTCCAAGTGCGCGTCTTTTCTTGGTCGCCATATTTCTTTTCTAATTTCTGTGTATTTGTCAGTTCAAGATGGATTTTCAAAACAGAGCAGGCGGAAAGACTGGCTCCGGTGGCGTCGCCTCGTGGTCAGAATCTAACAGAGACCGACGAGAGCGTCTTAGACAGCTTGCGTTAGAAACAATAGACCTCAACAAGGTAAATAAGAAGTTGTTGTTTTGCACGTGTGGCGTTCTCTTTAGAGTGGTGAAGAGTTCCTCCAACTACGCATGGGTTTAGGACAAAAGTCTTTTCTTCATTGCGGAAGTTAATACTTGATGTACTGGGTACTCAATAATAGTAAGATACACTGTAATAATATTATGCATGTACTTGTTGTTTCTTGTTTTTAGGATCCATATTTTATGAAGAACCATCTTGGTTCCTATGAATGCAAATTGTGTCTTACACTGCACAATAACGAGGTAAGTTGAATGGCTGTCAATAGTTGTTTAACTGCATTCTGGGCATGCTTTCTGTACAGCCCTTTTAAAAATTTAATAATTATGTATGCAACAATCTCATACTATTTCACACAAACAGTCGATATGAATAGAGTGAGAACATGTATGCATAATCAATGCATGAGGCTGAGCGGAAACTTACTGCTCTCTAGCCCAGGGCTTGTGGAGTTTGCTATCGGTCTAGTGAGTTGAGGCTGTTGGGCAATCTTACTTGGGAAATTCAAATACAGTGGAACTGTGATCATTGCTTATCAATTTTGGGGGTGGTAGTTGAAATGACTTCTGTGCTAGTAAATGCCAGCTATAGCTTGCCTGAATAACAATCTGTAAAACGGATGAACCTGTGAAGTTCACCCCAATTTACGTGTCATGCCTTGAGGCAGAAGTCAGTTGACAGTAACCACCAGACACTAATAGCGCACAACCCTACTGTATCTTCAGTCCTCTCATTTAGCTTATCATTATTTTTGAGATTTTATTTTAATTATTATTCTCTATTTATTATTGTAGGGAAGCTATCTTGCCCATACTCAAGGAAAAAAGCATCAATCTAACCTGTAAGCACCAGAACACACACTATATTTGGGTTCCACAGTTTGTACCTGTGCTTGGATTAAGATGTGATGTGATCTCTTGCTAGTTTTCATAATATTACTCTGGTCACTGTAAAAAGGATGGTAATCTCTGTGGTAACAATGATCACTGTAAAACCTTGTCCTTAGAAAGGACTGAAGTATTTCCCTGTCCCATAAAAGCATACTTGTCCAATACTCCAACAAATTTATTCATGGTATTGTTAAATTTCTCATTGTTTTGCTTTGTTCTTCACCATTATGCTTTTGTACAGTACTGTAATGTGAATACAATACAATACAATGCCATGCATAAATTTGTCGGAGTATTGAACAGCTCTCCCTTGTTGAGTGTCGCCCCATTGTCCCTTAGAGTACTTGAAGGACACTGTTTTGTAAGTCTCCTACTGGAGATGTTAATGCCATTAAGGTAAAGGCAAACACGAGCCAAAGGCCCAAATGGTTGGAGCTTATCCCAGTTTCATTAGTATGAAGCACTTAGGAGTATTATTACTCCCCCCTGGACGGGATGCTAGTCCATCCCAGGGTTACCCCCCAGCAGTATGTCACCAGTACCCATTTAAACACCGGGTTGAAGAGAGACAAAGTGGAGTAAAGTTCCTTGTCCGAGGAAATGTGATGGGCGTGGCTTGAACCCCGGACCTCCAGATCCGGAGTTCGAGGTGTTAACCACTCAGCTACACACACCTCCACAGTGCCATTCCTACGTGTTTATTTGAGCCACACAAATGTCTAGCCACATTTTATTCGCAAAGCAATAGCAAAAAATTTGTACATGTATGTGCCTTCATCACCTAGTTTGAGACCCTGAGTATTGGTCTGGCCCAGGGCTCAAACCCATGACATCCCATCCACTTTGCAGTCCAGCACTTTACTTACAGCTGCTCTAAGCAATCCTTATCTTTGAGGGATTCACTTAAACTTAATTTGTGTTTCAAGAAGGTTTAAGTGATCGTCACTAAACAAGATTCTTATTTTAAATTACCTTTTATCATTCTTGTGAAATGCTTATTCCACAAACCCTTCCAAACAATACTTGTATCTTAAAATGACTCCCAAAGGATCAGTTTCTGTGACTAGAAATAACTAGCCTGCGAGCAGGCTCACTTGTGTTTCCTACTGATGTTTTTTATCATCAAGTTCGATGTGTGAATGTTTGTGTCGCATATCCTTGGTTTTTGTCATAATTAAGTGGCCTATCGTTGCCTGTCGTTTTTAACCAAATAGATCACTGTGTTCATCAGCAAACGTGGGGTATTCAAAAATCAATAGCTCGCATACAGGCTCATTTTTCCTTGGCCCATTGGTGGCATACATTGAGCTGCCAAAAATTTTTCCCAAACTTGCACAATTTAACCGGCTTGTAAGAAATAACAAAGTATGATTATTTTCAGCGCTCGTCGTGCTGCTAAAGAAGCAAAAGAAGCCCCAGCTCAGCCAGCACCAGTGAGTACAGTAGTTTGTATTTTTTTAAGTTAAATGAAGCAGTACTGTTGTAAAGCTGTATTTCTGATCAGCATGTCACCGAGCTTAAAATTTACCATCTTTCATTCTTTCAGCCATATTATTTTATGTACCTGTGTTCTATGAAAAGTGAACTGTGAATGAAATAAAACAAAAGAAGAGGATAAATACTGTTATGTGATAAAGCAGTATGTACCAGGGGCGGATCCAGGATTTTTTTTAGGAGGGGGTGCACTCGTCTCTTTCTCTACTTCAACACCAATAAACCACATAGTTTTTGTTTGCAGAGTACCAGTTGTATTAGAAAACCGCAGGTCATCTCAGTGGGGGGGGGGGAGGGTGCGCACCCCCTGCACCCTTGATCCGCCCCTGTGTACAAGTAAACACTGTAATTACTTTGCTTGCTTTTACAGGAAAAACCAAGGGTATCTGTTAAAAAGTTTGTCAAGATTGGCCGTCCAGGTTATAAAGGTAGCAAAAAATCCTTATCATTTTTTTTATATCTCTCCGTCATGTCATAATATTTACTTGCTAATAACATATGTAGATGTATATAGAATACACTGGTACTTGTTTTTTTTTTCTCTGAAAAGAGTAATAATTCTACAAGGATGTATACATGTTATTTGGTATGTTTAAGAAGAGAAGTAAAATTGTATAAATGACATACTAAATTAGCCTGAATTTTGACCATGAATTTTTGGTCTTGTATGGCTTATACAGAGTCGTTATTTGCTCTTTGCAGCTGTAGCTAGATGGTGTGACTGACACTGTACTTGTATCTATGTGAATCACCTTAAAATACCAGAGACAAAAATATTTTAAGTCCTGACAGTGCTATTTTTTAATGGTTTCAGAGAAAAAAATACCATAGGTAGCAATGGAAAAAGTCACTGGACCACAATCCTTGCATTATTGCATTTTTTCCATAAAACCTGAGTCTTTCATTCCAACATCCACAAAATCTTAGTCACCTCGCGATCGCTTTCTGCATGTACCAAATTTCCTTGTGTGCTCTTTCCATCTTTGGTAACAATATTATGAGATAAAATTTCAACAATACATTAAGCTGGTCACTTGATTGTAGGTGCCAAAGGCCTATCTAATTTTGCCCACCATATTGTGTGCAGTAAAATGACAACTAATCCACACAACTTACAATATTCTACATAAATTGCCACAATAGGCCACGATGACGATGTTTGACTACAACTACCAGAATTCATTTTGTCTTTACCTTCTTATTGAAATTTGTCAATTCTGCTGAGGTTTAACTAACACTAGCCCTAATAATTTATTTGCACAAGCCACAAGCAAACAACAACTGAAGGATTCTAGTGCATGTAGTAGTAGTAAAATAATGTCAATGTGCAATTGTCCTTTAGCATTACATGCAATGGGTTTTAAGTCCAGAGCAGTACTTCAGCTTATATAATGTTAATAAAATAATATTTTTTTGTCTTTCTATCACATGAATACAGTAACAAAACAAAGGGACCCAGACACTGGACAGCACAGCCTTTTATTTCAGGTGGCGTAAGAACTCAGAATCCGGTCTTGGAGTGCTTTTTCCACTAAATCTCTGATGGTCTTGATCGACGTTCGAATGTTTTGACGAACATTCGAACGACAGGACTTGCTCTTCGTCACCTTCTCCTCGGCCGAGCAGGTGTTTGTCTGCAACAGAATTTCTGAGATCTACAGCAAAAGAAGGTCTCCAGCGGAAGTTTGAACGATCGACTTCACCAATTTCTTCACGACATTCGTTCTTAGGGAATATTCGCTCGTCATCTGAACCGAAACGAGACCTGACGACACCTGGGTTACTGACATCATTGTCTGCAGCCAAAACAGAATTTTGGAGTCTTCTAACCCAGTCTGAAGCAAACTCTTTCACATCGTCATCGCTGAGCTCCTCCATCTAGACTGGCGTTTGCATGCAAACTTCGTTAGCTACCCTATCAATCCAGACATAGACATTTCGGTTCCAGCATAGTAGAACTACGAAGAGAATAATCTTCTCCAAGTTGTCATGGTCACTACGCATGCTCTCTCAAAATGCCGCTGACATTTTCTTATGCGTCCGCCAAAATTAGTAGCCTCATCTTCAAGGCGAGTTTAAAAAGACTGGTGATGACTAATTCCTAGTCTTCCTCCTAGTGCGCGTCTCTTCTTCGTCGCCATATTTCTTTTCTAATTTCTGTGTATTTGTCAGTTCAAGATGGATTTTCAAAACAGAGCAGGCGGCAAGACAGGCTCCGGTGGCGTCGCCTCCTGGTCAGAATCTAACAGAGACCGACGAGAGCGTCTTAGACAGCTTGCGTTAGAAACAATAGACCTTAACAAGGTAAAATAAGAAGTTGTTTTGCACGTGTGGCGCTCTCTTTAGCGTAGTAGTGAAGAGTTCATCCAACTACGCATGGGTTTAGGACAAAAGTCTTTTCTTCATTGCGTATTATCAAGAGGAAGCCATATTCGATGTACCGGGTACTCAATAATAGTAATATACACTGTAATAATATTATGCATGTACTTGTTGTTTCTTGTTTTTAGGATCCATATTTTATGAAGAACCATCTTGGTTCCTATGAATGTAAATTGTGTCTTACACTGCACAATAACGAGGTAAGTTGAATGGCTGTCAATGGTTGCTTAACTGCGTTCTGCCCTTTTAAAAATTTAATAATTATGTATGCAATAATCTCATACTATTTCACACAAACAGTGGATATGAATAGAGTGAGAACATGTATGCATAATCAATGCACGAGGCTGAGCGGAAACTTACTGTTCTCTAGCCCAGGGCTTGTGGAGTGTGCTATCGGTCTAGTGAGGTGAGGCTGTCGGGCAATCTAACTTGCCTGAGGGGCAAGTGAAGTTGTTTGGGGAATTCAAATACAGTGGAACTGTGATCATTGCTTATCAATTTTGGGGTGGTAGTTGAAATGACTTCTGTTCTAGTAAATGTCAGCTATAGCTTGCCTGAATAACAATCTGTAAAGCAGATGAACCTGTGAAGTTCACCCCAATTTACGTGTTGTGCCTTGAGGCAGAAGTCAGTTGACAGTAACCACCAGACACTAATAGCACACAACCCTACTGTATCTTCAGTCCTCTCATTTCGCTTATCATTATTTTTGAGATTTTATTTTAATTATTATTGTCTATTTATTATTGTAGGGAAGCTATCTTGCCCATACTCAAGGAAAAAAGCATCAATCTAACCTGTAAGCACCAGAACACACACTATATTTGGGTTCCACAGTTTGTACCTGTGCTTGGATTAAGATGTGANATATTTTATGAAGAACCATCTTGGTTCCTATGAATGTAAATTGTGTCTTACACTGCACAATAACGAGGTAAGTTGAATGGCTGTCAATGGTTGCTTAACTGCGTTCTGCCCTTTTAAAAATTTAATAATTATGTATGCAATAATCTCATACTATTTCACACAAACAGTGGATATGAATAGAGTGAGAACATGTATGCATAATCAATGCACGAGGCTGAGCGGAAACTTACTGTTCTCTAGCCCAGGGCTTGTGGAGTGTGCTATCGGTCTAGTGAGGTGAGGCTGTCGGGCAATCTAACTTGCCTGAGGGGCAAGTGAAGTTGTTTGGGGAATTCAAATACAGTGGAACTGTGATCATTGCTTATCAATTTTGGGGTGGTAGTTGAAATGACTTCTGTTCTAGTAAATGTCAGCTATAGCTTGCCTGAATAACAATCTGTAAAGCAGATGAACCTGTGAAGTTCACCCCAATTTACGTGTTGTGCCTTGAGGCAGAAGTCAGTTGACAGTAACCACCAGACACTAATAGCACACAACCCTACTGTATCTTCAGTCCTCTCATTTCGCTTATCATTATTTTTGAGATTTTATTTTAATTATTATTGTCTATTTATTATTGTAGGGAAGCTATCTTGCCCATACTCAAGGAAAAAAGCATCAATCTAACCTGTAAGCACCAGAACACACACTATATTTGGGTTCCACAGTTTGTACCTGTGCTTGGATTAAGATGTGATGTGATCTCTTGCTAGTTTTCATAATATTACTCTGGTCACTGTAAAAAGGATGGTAATCTCTATGGTAATAATGATCACCGTAAAACCTTGTCTTTAGAAAGGACTGAAGTATTTCCCTGTCCCATAAAAGCATACTTGTCCAATACTCCAACAAATTTATTCATGGTATTGTTAAATTTCTCATTGTTTTGCTTCGTTCTTCACCATTATGCTTTTGTACAGTACTGTAATGTGAATACAATGCAATACATTGCCATGCATAAATTTGTCGGAGTATTGGACAGCCCTCCCTTGTTGAGTGTCGCCCCATTGTCCCTTAGAGTACTTGAAGGACACTGTTTTGTAAGTCTCCTACTGGAGATGTTAATGCCATTAAGGTAAAGGCAAACACGAGCCAAAGGCCCAAATGGTTGGAGCTTATCCCAGTTTCATTAGTATGAAGCACCTAGGAGTATTGTTACTCCCCCCTGTACGGGATGCTAGTCCATCCCGGGGTTACCCCCCAGCAGTATGTCACCAGTACCCATTTATACACTGGGTTGAAGAGAGACAAAGTGGAGTAAAGTTCCTTGTCTAAGGAAACACGATGGGCGTGGCTTGAACCCCGGACCTCCAGATCCGGAGTTCGAGGTGTTAACGACTCAGCCACACACACCTCCACAGTGCCATTCGTACGTGTTTATTTGAGCCACACAAATGTCTAGCAAAGCAATAGCAAAAAATTTGTACATGTATGTACCTTCATCACCTAGTGTGAGACCCTGAGTATTGGTCTGGCCCAGGGCTCAAACCCATGACATCCCATCCATTTTGCAGTCCAGCACTTTACTTACAGCTGCTCTAAGCAATCCTTATCTTTGAGGGATTCACTTAAACTTAATTTGTGTTTCAAGAACGTTAAAGTGATCATCACTAAACAAGATTCTTATTTTAAATTACCTTTTATCATTCTTGTGAAATGCTTATTCCACAAACCCTTCCAAACAATACTCGCATCTTAAAATGACTCCCAAAGGATCAGTTTCTGTGACTAGAAATAACTAGCCTGCGAGCAGGCTCACTTGTGTTTCCTACCGATGTTTTTTATCATTAAGTTTGATGTGTGAATGTTTGTGTCTCATATCCTTGGTTTTTGTCATAATTAAGTGGCCTATCGTTGCCTGTCATTTTTAACCAAATAGATCACTGTGTTCATCAGCAAACGTGGGGTATTCAAAAATCAATAGCTCGCATACAGGCTCATTTTTCCTTGGCCCATTGGTGGCATACATCGAGCTGCCAAAAATTTTTCCCGAACTTTCTAAGAAACAACTAAATATGATTATTTTCAGCGCTCGTCGTGCTGCTAAAGAAGCAAAAGAAGCCCCAGCTCAGCCAGCACCAGTGAGTACAGTAGTTTGTGTTTTTTTTAAAAGTTATTTGAAGCAGTACTGTTGTAAAGCTGTATTTCTGATCAGCATGTCACTGAGCTTAAAATTGACTACCTTTCATTCTTTCAGCCATATTATTTTATGTACCTGTGTTCTATGAAAAGTGAACTGTGAATGAAATAAAACAAAAGAAGAGGATAAATACTGTTATGTGATGAAGCAGTATGTACAAGTAAACACTGTAATTGCTTTGCTTGCTTTTACAGGAAAAACCAAGGGTATCTGTTAAAAAGTTTGTCAAGATTGGCCGTCCAGGTTATAAAGGTAGCAAAAAAACCTTATCATTTTTTTTTATTTCTCTCTGTCATGTCATAATATTTACTTGCTAATAACATATGTAGATGTATATAGAATACACTGGTACTTGACTTTTTTTTTCTCTGAAAAGAGTAATAATTCTACAAGGATGTATACATGTTATTTGGTATGTTTAAGAAGAGAAGTAAAATGTATAAATGATAAACTAAATTATCCTGAATTTTGACCATGAATTTTTGGTCTTGTATGGCTTATACAGAGTCGTTATTTGCTCTTTGCAGCTGTAGCTAGATGGTGTGACTGACACTGTACTTGTATCTACGTGAATCACCTTAAAATACCAGAGACAAAAATATTTTAAGTCCTGACAGTGCCATTTTGTAATGGTTTCAGAGAAAAAATACCATAGGTAGCAATGGAAAAAGTCACTGGACCACAATCCTTGCATTATTGCATTTTTTCCATAAAACCTGAGTCTTTCATTCCAACATCCACAAAATCTTAGTCACCTCGCGATTGCTTTCTGCATGTACCAAATTTCCTTGTGTGCTCTTTCCATCTTTGGTAACAATATTATGCGATAAAATTTCAACAATACATTAAGCTGGTCACTTGATTGTAGGTGCCAAAGGCCTATCTAATTTTGCCCACCATATTGTGTGCAGTAAAATGACAACTAATCCACACAACTTACAATATTCTACATAAATTGCCACAATAGGCCACGATGACGATGTTTGACTACAACTACCAGAATTCATTTTGTCTTTACCTTCTTATTGAAATTTGTCAATTCTGCTGAGGTTTAACTAACACTAGCCCTAATAATTTATTTGCACAAGCCACAAGCAAACAACAACTGAAGGATTCTAGTGCATGTAGTAGTAGTAAAATAATGTCAATGTGCAATTGTCCTTTAGCATTACATGCAATGGGTTTTAAGTCCAGAGCAGTACTTCAGCTTATATAATGTTAATAAAATAATATTTTTTTGTCTTTCTATCACATGAATACAGTAACAAAACAAAGGGACCCAGACACTGGACAGCACAGCCTTTTATTTCAGGTACTAGGTTTATACCGACATTGTACTTGTTTAGCAAATATCATTACATTTATTCAAAGAGAGCAATTAATAATTATTACTCTCAAGAAATCACCCCCACCAAGAATTCCCAGGAGTAACCCCCCCCCTCCCCTCTCACTATGGATCAATGCCAAAGAAGACCCATTAGGGGGCTGATATTGTATTTTAACTTGCTTCAGAATGCTCAAAAGTGATTCATTCCTCTGTATGTGTAGGTGGATTATCCAGAGATAGCAGAAAGCATCACTCCAAGGCATCGCTTCATGTCAGCTTATGAACAGCGAATTGAACCACCAGACAAATCATGGCAGTATCTTCTTTTTGCAGCTGAGCCTTATGAAACTATAGCCTTCAAGGTATGTTCCGTGATTTCAAACAGTTTACAAAGCATTTGCTGTATTGCTGGTTTTCAGTGTCACGCCATTCAAAATACTGTAGATCAAAATTGAAATCAAAAAAATTAATTATCTTTCAATAGATTAAGTCAAGAGTCTGGGAAATGTAAGTAAGCAACTATGCAAAGACTCTTGCCAAGATTCAGGTCAGAGGAATATTTTGTATAGAAATACCCAAAGAAATGTTTTACCCAAATTTATAGAGATTTGTATGGAGGCACCATGCTGAAGAAACAGAAACATCTGTTGCTGAGTTTTGCTACAAAAGCATGATTATATTTCTCAAGTAATTCATAAACATTAAAGTAATACTTTTTCTAATGCATGAACATCTGTTTAGATAAGCAAAATTAGAGTAAGCTTCTTTTTTAACCTTCATGACAGCTCTCTTAGCCGTTATGTAAGTGCTTAGACATTCAAGCATACTCCAAACCAAGAAGCCTTTTGAAGCGAAAATTTGTATGAAAATTATTTTTCAGCTTTTCTAATACATCATCAGTTTTGTAGTTTGAAGTCTAGTGACAACAATTCATTTCTGTGGGATGCAGCAGGCCCCTTTTTGAGATGGACATTAAGTGATGTTCCCAGTGGTGTCCGGCCTTGAAGAGAGCTGACTGCAGCTGTTGATATGTAAATTGAATCAAAGAGTCAGCAGTTTGGAAAAATTTCCATGTTTTGTTTTCAAACACCTTTAAGTTAATAAGAAACAACTCTTGCTGTAGATTCCAAGTAGGGAAATTGACAAAGATGAAGGGCGACTGTGGACTCACTGGAATAAAGACACAAAGCAGGTCAGCAAATTCTGTTACTGTATCTCTAAATGAGTACATGCACTTTGATTGGTCAATTTAATGGGCCATAATTCACTGTAATGATGGGTGAATTCAAGTTTGTTTTGGTTTTTAATTTGCTGATTGTTTCATGTAATTTTGGTCTATGGGTATGTTGAATGATAAACAAATGTTTTGAAAACTCAAAGCCTTGACCTTGGACCCTGTTGGATTTGATGCACCATGACCCATCAACAGCTGTTCCACTTCTTGAAATGAAGCCTTCGATGCCCTCTTAGACTCTCCCTTAACCCAGAGATTTAATAAACATCTTTCTAACCCATCAATTATCCTTTAAAATAAACACCTGATATTTGTTGTACCCGTGGATAGTTTAGTCTTGAGCAAATAAAACAGAAATGCGGGATCATATGATTATCAGTTGCTTTGGACGATAATTTTTGTGCACTGAACAACTCAATAAAAAGCATTCTGTTTTTTTGCTTTCAGTTTTTCCTGCAGTTCCATTTCCGACTAACACCCAATCAAATTCAACAGCAGCAACAGAAGAGAGGTGGAGCTGGTCAACAGAGTTTGCCACCTGGCCTTGCACCTCCACCGCCCAGAAACATCCCCTCTGCAAACCCTCTTAATCCTTTTGCTCAGCGCTGATTACTTTACTAGATGTACCTTCTCACAGATTGTTGTCCGGACATATGAACCCACTTATCATTTTGCTTAGTGCGGATTCAGATTGCCCAGATAGATCCATGTACCTCATCACACAGTAGTCTCTAAACTTTTTCCCAGCCGTGGGGTCAATTAAGTAAAACTCTTACAAGTGTAATTTACAAGGGTAGCTATTGTTTTCAGACTTTTAAACAATGGCTACACTTATGAATTACTCTTGATTTGTAAATTTTTACTTAATTGACCCATTGACCCATTAATTGATTACCTGGTGATTTCCTCGTAGAGGGCACTGTAAACATCTGTATGAAATATTATTTTTATGAAGGTTTTTTATGTGGACATCATTAGAACTTTTATGTCTTCGTATTCTCTTTAAACAATTCAGGAAGTTTTATACATGCACCCTGCAACTCTACTAAAAATTTAAAGTCTTTTTTGTAGGATTTAATAAAGGCTTTGCCTTGAAAATGTGTTTTCAATTGTGAAGCATCACGGTCCTTGAGTTTAATCCCATAGTAGCTCTCCTAGTCTGAGTCTTTTGTGTCGTGCTAATTTGTGGTCCTGTGAAAAGTAGTTTTTTGTCACAGGAAACTCAAAAAAAGTAGTATCTCAAGAGACCAGATTAGTGCGTTGTTTTAGAGCCACTGCATGGAAGTTAAATAAACAAGCAAACAACATTTTATTTTATTTCATTTCTATCCTGTGCAGGCAACAACAACATGCTGAATTGTATCTTATGCTGGAAACCTTTGAATTAAGTTAAGGCTATGTTATCATTTATCACCTAATAACAGTCAAAGTCATACTCAGGGAAACAGCTCATTATTAGAGAGATTAAGATTCACCGGTTTACGCCAAATGGCAGACGTGATTTTGTACCACGTGACCAAGTTTTTCTCTCATTTTTCGTTTACTCTTTATTGCTTCTACACAAAAAGAAGTAGTTTTATGCCAGTTTTAACCACAGGAATCGTTCGGGACTGTTTTTATCTGCGTACTCTCTATTCTGAGAGATCCTCAACTTGAGTCTGACGTTTGCCGTTTGCAGTAAACGTGAATCGTAATCCCTCCAATAGCAAAAATATAGTTTTATAATTCTCTCCCGTCTTTTCTCTCAACAGAGTTTAAGCAAAAGCATTGTAAACAAATACTGATTTAACATACATATGTAAAACAGGACCATTCATTTGAAAAAATGTAAAGGAAGAAAGAGCCAAATACAGCCTTTTTGTGATCTTGAAACTTTACAGCATTTATTCAAAAATCTGAATACGACTGTTTTCGTTGTCAGACACAACTATTTTACCATCACTGAGAACGGCTGCTGAGATCGGTAAATTAAACTCTCCCATTCCGCTTCCTCCTCTTCCAATTTTAGCGAGAAACTTCCCACTCAGATCAAACACGTGAATCCTGTGATTGTTAGTATCACCAACCATCAGATGCCCTGCCTTATTCACGGACAAACAGCAAGGTTTGAACTCCCAATCCGCGATACCCCGCTTCCCAAATTTGTAAAGGAAGTTACCCTTTCTATCAAATAATTTTATAGAATGATCACCTTGATCTGATACTATTAGATAGTTATCATGCTGGATACAGTGATAGGGTTTAGTGAAAGAGCCCTCTGTGCCAAGTTTATATAAAAACTGCCCATCAGCGGAAAAGAACTTAATTAATTTGTTTCGGCTATCAGCTACAATGATATTGCCATCACTGTTAATAGATAAACCAATGGGAACGTTAAGTTGATGATCACGACTTCCTTCTCCCCCCAAGCGGCGAAGGTATTCCCCCTGTCTACTTAGCACTTGAACTCTGTGGTTTCGCTGTTCAGCTACAATAATATTGTCACCAATATATGCTATACCGGAAGACCAGAAAAACTTACCGTGCTTAGCACCCTGATCACCAAAAGATCTAATATGAGTTCCATCGCTCTTGAATAAGTGAATCTTATGGTTACCAACGTCACTCACTGCAATTTCATCATTTTCATTTACTGCTACCCCCCAAGGATATTTCAGTATGTGTTCTCCAAATGATAACACAGGTCTGAACCATCTGGGTTTGACTTGAACCTCAAAAGGGCTGCCACAGATATGTTCTCCATTAACCTTCACTGATGCACTGCATGTTCCTGCTTCTTTGACAAAGTATTTGATCTTGTAAGTACCATCTTTGTTATCTTGGACTTCTACTTCAGCTGCGCATTTTTTGCCTTGACGATTCCAGATTTCCAGTGTGACACAGTCATTATTACCATAACACTGATGACATTTCTTGTTTCTTGTTGTCACAACAAGCTGTGCTTCAATTCCAACAATTGCCTCACTGATTCCTTTTCCATCAGCACTCGATTGTTGCGCTCTTGTCTGACTTTCTTTCAGGGAACCAATTTGATCAGCGGTTATGAGATCAAATAACTTGTGATTCTTCACAAAATCAAATTCTTGGAAAAACCCGTCATCACGGTCACTGTCTTCTTGGAAATTTTTTTCCTTTAATATTTTGCCCAGTAGCTCGTTCGGCTGCATGAGTTGAGCGCTTGAGCTTCGCTTTAAAAGTGTCTCACAATCTTCTGTTTCTGATTCATGCTTTTTTGCTTGTTCTTCAATCTCCTTCTTTTTCTTTCCAACTTTTTGAAGAGATGCTTTTGTCCTTCGTTCCACATCATCAAAGATCTCCAGTTTCTTTGCTTCAATGGCTGCATGAATGCTGTCAGCATACTCTTGTACGTTTCTCTTCAAACGAGCGGCTTGTTCTTGAACTTCACTAAGGCTTTCGTCAAGTTTGGCGATTTTGCTTCTCTTTGTTTGAGCTCGTTTTCTCTGGGATACAATTGCAGATTTAACTCTTAACTTCCGCTCATTTGCAGCTTGTTCGAGAAGAATCTTTCCGTGCCCATCATGATTCGTTAACGCACAAGCGTTGCAGATTGCAACTTCGCAGATATTGCAGAAGAATTCTATCTCCTTTTTCTCGTGGCCTGGTATCGCACAAAATGTTGGCCACTTTAAAATGTTCTCAAAGTCATGATCTTGAAAGTCTTCCAATGCAAGCGCATAGTGATCTTTATTGGCTTTCATCCCATTGTGGAAAGTGATACACTCTCCGCCCCACAACGCACAACACTGGAAACAATAATGGCTTTCTTTGCCACGTTGGTTGCAATTTTCACACTTAACTCCGGCCGTGTTGCACTCTTTAATAGCTAATACGTCGAGCAAGCTGTTAATACGAAAATTTGTTGGCAAAGCCGCTAGGTTTCCATTATCAGGCACCTTGAATTCCTGTCTGCACTCCGGGCACGAAATTTTATCTCGTCTGCCACTCGTTCGTTGAATCTCATTCAGACAATGAAGGCAAAAACTATGCAAGCACGGCAACTGTTTTGGATCGGTGTACTTGGACATACACACAGAACATGACACCTCTTCATGAAGGTTGTTTAACAAGGTTTGAATATCCATGTTGACTGTGTTAGCGGTCGCGAAAGCGGTAAACGTGACGGAACGGAGAAAACTACGTTGAATACATTAGAGTCTTTTTGGGTGTTAGGCTTATTATTTTTGCACATGATTGACCTCGAGTAAACCAATCAAAAAGGCTTACTGGACATGTTCTGACGTTAAGTAACTTCTGATAATGATTGTAAAATATCCCGCATTTCTTAGAACTGAGTTCAGGGTGGGTGCTGGTCCCCGACCTTTATTTAACTGTTTCTCCAGGTCCGTTTTTCTTTACAATAGAGAGCTGCTTTTTGGTTCGTTAACGTATTTTCAATAACAGGAGACAACTACAGTCATAGTCAAAAGGTTTTGGGACACTTACCTTTCTTCACGTCAGTCTTTGTTTGGAATTTGCATGCATGTAGCCAGCAATACATATCTATGAACTCCATCTTACCAAAGTTCCTCCCCGGCCCCTCCCCTATTGGAGTTTATATACCTTCCCTCAGAAGATTTTTGGAGCCTTTTTAAAGGTTTGCAGTACTGCACAATGCATGCTGGAATCAAAATAGCGTGACCCAAGATAAACATCACTTTCACTATCACTCTTCTACAAAAGGCCAAGACTAGAGGTACGTTAAAGTTATTTTTACATCTGTTTGTACTAGTCTTTGTGTGTGCAGTTTTTGTGCAATTTTGGTTGACGTAACACTGGCCTGCTATACAGCATTCTCGTCCCCAGAGCCCGTCGTTTCTTGGTCACGTGAAAAAGTAAGCCGAGTGGCTCTGGGGACGAGAATGGCTATACGTTTCATGCGCAAATCGTGGTATTCTCAATGCTAACATCCCTGTGAACATGATCATTTACATATGAAGAACAAGACGGTTTGTAACAAAACAAGACGCTGTGGGAGTGTATACTTGGAGGTCGATGTACTTCGCGTGTGTGAATTGTTTTATGTGTATCAGGGATGTGTACTGAGTATTGTATTAACGTTGAATATTATAGGGGTTGGTTGAGATGCGTGAAGTGGAAGGGGTGGGGTGGAGAATTGGTAAGATAATGGCTGTAGTTTGTTAATCAGTGAAACTTGTTTCTCGTAGAATTTAATACGAAGAAACCAAAAAATAATTATTTTTGGATGTAAAAGTGATTTTAGTTGTAACAGTGAGG